GCAGCGCAACCAAACCCCAGCTCGGACCAACGTCGTTTTAGCACTCTTCAACCGTGAGCCCGTGGATATAACGGTATTGGCCCGTTATCAGACGATCCGTTAAACACTACCGCAACTATGGCTTCATTTGTCGAGCTCCTTTTCCCCATTGGACATGGTTGATCCACGGTCACCCACCCAAACACCTAGGCATTCCCACTCAACCCTACTTCGACAAGACTCATCACAATGGAGTCACCATCTCCGTTGTTGCTATGCCCTAATCCCATCCTACCAGCTAGCCCCATCGCCAGCAAAATGCGTCGTATCCCTCTTTCTCTTAACTCACCACTACCTATGTGACCCCAACATGAAGGGGAGAGTTAGAGAAAAGAACGTCGGTACCGCATCCAAGTGAGCTCTCCAAATCCAGTGCGAAAAAAAATACTAAATTATGAATTTAGGATTCAATAATAGATTTCAAAATTGGGAATAGGATTAAGTACTATAATTTCACAGTCCAGAAACAGGAATATATTATTGTGATTATCGATTTAAAAATTACCGAGTATGAAGTCAACAGTTTGGAATTGTGAATCAAGAGTTGAGAGATATCATTGAGCAGAAAAATTGAAATTTTGAAAAAGCAGAGAAGTACTATTGAAATAAATTCAAAGTTTGATTAGGAATTTGTCAAACAGGAAAGTCAAGTGAGAATTAGAAAAACGAAGTCAAGGATTAGGAACATCCACTTAAAAATTAAAATTTCAAAAAAGCAGAGAAATAAGTATTATTGAAAAAATCCGAAGTTGATTATGAATTTTGTCAAGCAGAAAATCCAGGTAGGAACGTAGCAATTGACCTACTAAAGACTATAGACTCGTCATCATCAGGAAGAACATGGGAATCATGACTTAATCCAAAAAAAAATTGAGATAGTGTGGCGATAATTATTGCCTATCTAACAGATATTTACCCCTTCCTAAAAAACTGTGAATAATATGTATTATCATCTCTTCAAACTGTGAATGGGCGGCCTTCAGATTCGTGAAACACAAACAGACAACCACCTCCAAGTGCATGATTTTGGCAGTCGCTTAGTCAAGATCCGGACAATGTCCATCGCAGAAAATCTCCCACTGCCATCGCCATCTTTGACTTCATCGCACTTTTAGCCACATAATGCAACTCTGCTCCTTCTGCCCAAACTCACCTCCCACCACCTTCGTAAAAGATGAACAACACCTCCCCTCCCCTGCTGGCCGTTGTGCTGGTCACACCCTAGCAACGACTCCTTTGCCCGCCTACGAAGGCAACTGGGCACCCCCAGTGCCTCCACCTCGAAACACCAAGCGGAGGGTATCATAGTGCGTCCTCACCGAACTCGTCGACGAGTTTCATGAAGGGTTCAAGCAAACAGAGGTGCTGCAAACGCCGCTCGGAATGAAAAAAATGAGGGGTGGAAGGAAAAAGATTATGACGAAGACACGCACTGTGAGCCAAGCTTGCTCCGCTGCCGATGTTGGAGTATGCAAGAGAGATGTTCATGTCCACCAGTCATATCCTTGAAGAAGAGGTCCCCACCAGATGCCATACTTACCTCACCGTCGTGTAGCCACCGAAAACTACAGCTCACCATCTCCAAACAACCAGCGTCGCCCAAACCCCCCTCCTCAACGCACCTATGCCATCCCGCTTGCGTCCAACCCTTCCCCAACTTCCAACGCCGCAACATGCCTTCGCGCTTGGGGCCGCCAACCAGCTGTGTATCGTGTTCCCTGTTCTTGCGCCCCAAGGCGCAGCGCTCCCCATTGACTCTTGACTTCACAAATCCACTTCCCCCGAAAGTGGCCAAGAGGAACGAATCCTGGATGTTGGCCCTCTGGGTTGCTTATGTTTTTTTTCTCTTCTACTGCATCTTCCCATAAATATAGTATAGATGCATTATTTTCTTTACTACAACCAAGTAACGAAATCTAGAACAGATTGCCCTGCCCTGTTGGCAAGGCTTGCTAAGAAAAGAAAAGAACAAAAAAATGTATTAACGTTCAGAAAAAAAAAGGAGAGAAAAAGTTCCTATCTTTGCCACAAGAGGTGTGGAGATCGAGGGCCTCACTCCAGTACTAACCAAATGTGCAAAATAGGCATGAATCTTCAGGTAGAACATAGGTAGATACATAGCTAGTAGTTTAGAGCTTGAAATGACATTTTTCCTGGCCGGTTGTGGGGTGGTACAACCCTCAGCAACTTGCTATTCGTTTTTCAGTTTTTTTTTTTTTTTTTTTTCCGCGATTGAAGAATTTGGTTTCCATCCGGCAGCCTCGCTCAATTGGTGAGGCACACAAGTGGCATTCAGGAGGTTGTGGGTTCAATCCCCATGACCGCCTGTGACACTCTTGGTGCTAACCAATTGAGAAAGTAAGCTGGATCCTCCCAGTCGGTATCAGTAGCAGACAGTAAGCTCGTCAACCAACACGGGTGTGAGTGCGCGTATGAGTGGGTTGTGTATGGTGTGTGGGAGAATGTTGGCTTTAGACACTACCATTCAGAAGGCTGCGCATCCCCCACTTCATAAGACATCTGCCAAACTTACTCTTAAGAACATAAAGCATGCTGCCTGAATGGATGCGTCCCCGCGTCAAACGCAGTATAACAGTGCATATCGAAGGTACGTTGTGTTCGGGGAATACAGTAGCCAGCGGGGACCTTTCATTGACTGTTTTCCACTGACGCCAGTAAGGGGACCCATGACTATCTCTATTTTTCCCGTTTCATCCCTTCATTTTTAAACCACCAGTACCTTTGACTCCTCTCTTGCCCAACCTGGAAACACCCTACGTGCCAAAGCAAAGAAGTCCGCTCTCGACTCCTTTTCCCTGGCGCTGCCAGCCATTTTATCTGGCAGGCTGATCCATGAAACTTGCGGTGCGAAAAAGTGGCTGGCAAAAATGACCGCGCAAGGTACTGGCGGTTTACTTTCTACCCATGGGTTGTGCACTGATGGATTTTTAGTTCCTAGGGATGCCCGCAACATTTTTACGAAGTTCATGCGATGTTTCTACTTCATTTCTCTATTTGACGGATGAAAAAATTACTTTTAGTTTTCTTTCTGCGTAATTCTCTTTTAGTTTTGTTTTTAAGGGCCAACAACCTTCAGATATCATCATCGAAGTGATCGGCCCCCAGTCATTCAGAATTATCTCATTTCAGTCAAAATGATAGTCACAAAGCTCAGTCACAATTTAAATTTGGGTTGAATTACATACGGTTGTACTAACTGAGCTAAACCACCAGGTCCACCACTACATGGCCCAACTATCGGCTGTGGGAAAAAATAGAGTAGAAACGTTCCTAATTGGACGAATTTGGGTATTCTCGTAGTGACCCGTACTTTTCCTAAAACTGTGGCTTGTTAACGGGCACAACTTTAGGAAAAACTCATGGTTTAAACTTGTTGGTAAGTTCTCTATTTTTTGCTTTTGTTCGCCACACTTAGCGAGCGTACATGACCTTTTCCAATTTGAATTTCCTTAGTTTGACATGCAAATTTGTGAGTGAGAAGAGAGGCGCCACCCTGCTTGTCTCTCAAAGGTTCAACTAACAAGACTTTCATCACCCCTCTCATTTTGCATCTCTTAGAATTCTCGTTTCTGCAAGCGCCCAAATTCTTTTTAGTTCCTGCTCTCACTTGTGATGTTCTTATCTCACGTCCCGCACAACTTTCCTGCGTTGGAGTGACTTAAGCATGGAAAAGGGGCCTGGAAAGGGCCAAAATGGGGTGTGCGGATTTTTGAAAATTTGATTGCAGAGACAAACACAAAACTGAAATTTTCCATGAGGTCCCAGATATGGAGCAATAAACGAAAGAGGAAAATCAAAGGAAAGGTCCCTTTTAAACGACTACCTAATCCGAAAAGTATCTTTGAACTTCGTTAAGGGCGGTGCAACGTCTTTTCTATAGGAAAAAAAAAGAAGGAACACATGTGACGCCCAACCTCACGCCTTGCGCAACTTCCTGTGGGTAGCTGGTCTAAAAGTAGCGAGAAAGGGGGTGTGCGAAGGTTTTTAGAAAAAAGGGGGCAGAGTCCAAAGTCGGAACTCGGATCTCGTGGCATTGTGTCAATGTTCTAAGGAGATGGATGCAAGGGGTCCGGACGAAAAAGGGGTGTTCTGAATTTTCAGCGCATCCGGTCATTAGCCCCGGTGCAGACTCTGCAATCGATGTACGCAATTGTGGTTGAGAACAAATATGGAATTTTGATGCTACAGACCCGTGTTATGGTGGACATTCCTACCTACACAGATTGACATTTTTGGGACCGATGGAAAAGAATTACGCGAGCGTATGTATACATGACGAGCGTGTTGTCGGCGAGTCGTAGCGCATGCACGAGTTCGCATAAGTTCCCTTCATCAGACATTAAACAAAAATTACCAACATCCCTATTTCTTCTTAATTTCAGCAAACCGATCTCAAACAAGCATCCATGTTCTCCAATCATAATCAGAAATTTACAGGGAATGGGCGCGCAATAGTAGAAGCGATTAAGACCTTAATCACCATATTTAACATCATGCTATAAGGAAAGCAATGTGAGAGGTGCTCCGAAGAAAGAACATAATTTATACAATCAGACATCCATCTGTAAAAAAAAAAATGAGAAGGACAAAACTCGCAGTTCAGAATTCAAAAGTTTTGAGAGGGCTACAAAAGAAGGTATCATACATCCCAACAACCCCCACACTCTCTCTCTCTCTCTCTCTCTCTCTCTCTCTCTCTCTCTCTCTCTCTCTCTTCTCTCTCTCTCTCTCTCTCTCTCTACTTTATCAAATCCCTTCTTGCTCCGGTGCAGGCAGTCCGTCGCTTAGTGCGAGTATACACGCTGGGTTCACCCGTGCTCCACAGTCCGTCGTGGACGCACGTCAACCCCACACACTCGCAACCAACTCGTCAGATCGCCCAACTCCGACCTCACCTCGGCTCGGGCATCCTCGTTTGCCTGCTGACGACCCTCGTGGTGACGGACATCCAGGTGGTGGACACCATCAAGGACATAGAGCCCAGCCTGAAGAGGCAGCTGCTGGTCTCCTCCGTGCTGATGACGCCGACCATCCTAGTCGTCTCCTACTTGTGCCTTCCCGCGCAATTCAGCATCGTCGTGGCGGGGCACGGGGACAAGGTTGTCAAGAACTGGTACAGCCCTGTGCGCGATGTGGCGGACGCTTGTCGGACGGGGGCGGCGACCAACATCATCTTCGGTCTGGCTCTGGGGTACAAGTCCGTGATCATCCCCGTGCTCGCCATAGCTGGGGCCGTCTACCTCTCCTACACCCTCGCCGCCATGTACGGCATCGCCTGCGCTGCGCTCGGAATGCTCAGCACCCTGTCCACGTGCCTGGCCATCGACGCCTACGGCCCCATCAGCGACAACGCCGGCGGGATCGCCGAGATGACGGAGATGGGTCCCGGCATCCGCGAAAAGACGGACACTTTGGACTCCGCTGGGAACACCACGGCCGCCATCGGCAAGGGCTTCGCGATCGGCTCTGCTGCGCTGGTGTTGCTTGCTCTGTTCGGGGCGTACGTGAACCGCACGGGCATCTCGGAGGTGAACGTCCTCGCGCCCAAGGAATTCGTTGGCCTGATCGTCGGGGCGATGCTGCCGTACTGGTTCTCGGCCATGACGATGAAGAGCGTCGGGAAGGCGGCGCTGGCTATGGTGGAGGAGGTGCGGCGGCAGTTCAACACCATCGCGGGGCTGATGGAGGGCACGGTGAAGCCGGACTACAAGAAGTGCGTCATGATCTCCACGGATGCCTCCCTCAGGGAGATGATTGCGCCGGGATGCTTGGTGATGCTCATGCCCATCATCGTCGGGTACCTGTTCGGAGTGTACACCCTGGCCGGCGCTCTGGCCGATGCGCTGGTCTCCGGCGTGCAGATGGCCATCTCCGCGTCCAACACGGGTGGAGCATGGGACAACGCAAAGAAGTACATCGAGGCAGGGAACACGGAGCAGGGGTGCGCGCTGGGACCCAAGGGCTCCGCATGCCACAAGGCGGCCGTCATCGGAGACACGGTGGGCGATCCCCTCAAGGACACGTCCGGACCATCCCTCAACATTCTCCTCAAGCTCATGGCAGTCGAATCCCTCGTATTCGCGCCGTTCTTCAAGGAGCACGGCAGCGTTCTCTTCGGCAGAAGAAGTTAAAGTCGAAGTTGAAGAGAAAGACACACTCGGAAAACATTCCTGCAGTGTGGACAGAGTGTTTCGCTTTTTCTTTTTTTTTTCAAATTCATACTTTTCTTGCAGGATTGCTTAGCGAGGTAGATCTGATCGCACGAACATAATTGTGGAGGGAGGTAGTCAAGTTTCTCTTTCATCGGATATCAGCAGCCAATGTTTGTGGGCATTGTAGTTAGGCGGGTAAGTAGGTTAGGTAGGTGAGTAAGTAGATAAGTTGGCAGGTTGGTAGATTGGTCGGAAGGTAGAAACGCCGATAGGTGGGCTGGTAGGTAGACAGATCATTATCTGATGTCCGTGCGTGCTTGTCATGGTTATTAGCGGAGTTGATCTTGGGCAGAAGTTCGTACAGGAGAAAGAGGTAGAA